AAGAAAGCTGAGCACCTAAGAATTGATGCTTTTGAACTGGGGTGTTGGAGAAGACTCTTGAGAATCCCCTGGACTGCAAAGAGATCCAACCAGTCCATCGTAAAGCAGCCAGTCCTGGGTGTTCATTGGAAGGACTAATGCTGAGGCTGAAAATCCAATACTTTGGCCACCTCATGGGAAGATCTGACTCATTGGAAAAGACCCTGATGCTGGGAGGGATTGGGGGCAGGAGGAGAAGGGGATGACAGAGGATGAGATGGTTGGATGGCATCATCGAATTGATGCACATGATTTTGGGTGATCTCCGGGGATTGGCGATGGACAGGGAGGCCTGGCATGCTGCGATTCATAGGGTTGCAAAGAGTTGGACACTACTGAGTGACTGAACTACTGACTGACAGTAGTTTAGAGTATCTTTTATAAACAATACTTTGGTTTAACATTATCAAAATGAAAAGTATTAAGGGATCCAGTATGAATTTTGATATTATAATGGGATTGTGGGCAGGAAGATAAACCATCAAATTCTGCCTTGTCATTTGTCCTTTTCATTGAAGGACACTTGAGGACACAGTAAACATACAAATATTCTCAAGAGTTAAATTTTAACAGTAAATGCAGTAGCACAAAGACATTATGCAATAGTGATAAAAATCTGGAATGCTTCTTGAAGATTGTGCTTGCCAGATAATCCTGGCCCCTTTCATTTCCCCTAAATTTTAAAGTAGCCCTATCAGTGTGCTTTGCAAGGTACTATTCAAAGAAAGGATGGTCAGGGCTCCCCAAGAGACCTCCAGATCCCATCCAGACACAGTGACTTAGAGAAAGAGAAAATCAGCCTCCCTGGTGACTTGGTCCTGCCAAAGTCTGAATCAGGAAGATCAAAGAGAAGATGGGGTCCTGCCCTTAAGTAAACCCTGTGCATTGTAGGGTCTGGCCTTTAATGGACCCTGTTTCTAGTCTGTCACATTGCTCCTCCTGATTGAGGAGGGAGAGGGACTGTAAGAAGGAATCAAGCATATGGAAACCGGTGTGGAAAAAATTCAGCAGCCTCTTTTTCCATCAAATAGATTGATATCTTATTTTCTAATACATAAAATTCCCCTGGGGTCTTTGGATATTTTGAACTACTTTTATAATTTGCTATTTGATATTTAACCTTCTCCTAAGGACCTATGCTGTTTCTTTGCTGTTAGAGTTACTTTACATTCCCAGAGCAAATAGAGGTTAAACACTATAAATTATAATCCAATGTATGAGAATTGATTGGGAATTACAAAATCCATACCACACTTTTCTACTGGGTATAGAAACTACATGATTGTCACTGTCACTCCTTTGTGGTTCGTTGTTAATGTGTTCATGGTCAGCTCAATAAATTTTATTATCACAAAGTTGGAACTTTTTCAAAAGCATTATTGATACTTATAAATTACAAAAAAAAAAAAAAGCCTTCCTTTACAAATGTAAACTATTTCCAAATCAGGAAAGTTGGAAACACTCTTGATTCATGTCAAAAATTACTAATTATTTTTTTCTTGTAGGTAATGCTTTACAATTTGTAATCTAAACAGCTATACTTTTACTTTTCAGGTACCTTAATAACTTATCACTAATAAATTATAAATAAGATTGATTTCTTTTAAGTGGCTGATTCAGTTCAGTTCAGTTCAGTCACTCAGTCATGTCCAACTCTTTGCAACCCCATGGACTGCAGCATGCCAGGCTTCCCTGTCCATCACCAACTCCTGGAGCTTGCTCACACTCATGTCCATCAAGTCAGTGATGCCATCTAGCCATTTCATCCTCTGCTGTTCCATTCTCCTCCTACTTTCAATTGTTTCTGGCATCAGGTTCTTTTCCAATGAGTCAGTTCTTCACATCAGGTGGCCAGAGTATTGGAGTTTCAGCTTCAACATCAGTCCTTCCAATGAGTATTCAAGACTGATTTCCTTTAGGATTAACAGGTTTGATCTCCTTGCAGTCCAAGAGACTCTCAAGAGTCTTCTCCAACACCACAGTTCAAAAGCATCAACTCTTTGGTGTTCAGCTTTCTTATAGTCCAACTCTCACATCTATACATGACTACTGGAAAAACCATAGCTTTGACTAGATGGACCTTGTCAGCAAAGTAATGTCTCTGCTTTTTAATATCCTGTCTAAGTGGGTTATAGTTTTTCTTTCAAGGAGCAAATGTCCTTTAATTTCATGACTGTAGTCACGATCTGCGGTGATTCTGGAGCCCAAAAAATAAAGTCTCTCCCTGTTTCCACTGTTTCCCTGATTTGTCATGAAGTGATGGAACCGGATGCCATGATCTTGGTTTTCTGAATGTTGAGTTTTAAGCCAAGTTTTTCACTCTTCTCTTTCACTTTCACCAAGAGGCTCTTTGGTTTGTCTCCACTTTCTGCCATAAGGGAGGTGTCATCTGCATATCTGAGGTTATTGATATTTCCCCTGGCAATCACTCTGCATATATGTTAAATAAGCAGGGTGACAATATACAGCCTTGATGTACTCCTTTCCCGATTTGGAAATAGTGGCTGATTACACATGTATTTTCCTTGTATATCAAAAGATGTAAAAGATGTGTATCAAAATATATATTAATGAGTGGATATATAACTCTCTTCTATAACATAAGCCAGTAAATATCTATTTTGAAATTTAGGACTAGTATAAAAAATAAAATTATAAAATATATAATAAACTTAAATTTTGTAAAACTTGTGAATTCTGACATTTTGTCAATGATGTGTTTAAACCTCTGAGTGTTGAGGACTGAAGGGGTATAAAAGTTAAGAAAATTAGAAAAAATAAAATAAAGAATAAAGTATGTTGCTTATTAGAAATTTCCCACTGTCTTTTTGCTTTAGAATAAAGACCATCTACTACTATTTTAAAATATCTGAATTTGACAATGACACTACATTCTTCTATGTGTTCATGTGTGAATGGTCATGATTATATTCCATACCTGATTGAATATAGTAATAAGTATGTAAAATGTAAGTATTCCTACTGATGTCAGTCATTAGTAATTAACCTTGATTAAGATCACACATCCTTTCTCCTTACATGCCATATGGAAGACATTTAATTAGTTATCTTTCAATCTCTTGAGTTCTAATGCTATAACTTTAAACTCATTGAATAAGGTATTTTCATTACCCTAACAGGTTCTATGGAGATATGATGGCAAAAAAACAAACACCTTAGGACCAATACTCATCTGTATAAAACAGAATGACCTTCTTGGTAAATATTGGCAGAACAAATGCTAAAAACATGATTAACAGAGTGATAGTACTTCAATAGGAAACAAACTTATCAAGTGTTTATTATTAAAACATTCAGAAAGAAACCTTTACTTCTGTGTTTTTACTCCCAGCACTCTGGGGAGAGAGAAAACATATCATAGTTGGCACTGTATTCTACCTGGTCATGTCCCTTTTGCCCAGAATTAAAATATCTTCATTTTGCCTGGAATTGCTTCTAACAGTGAATAGCTTAATGGGTTATTGTTCTACCTCTGATTCTTTCCTTACTCCTATTGCTTCTCCTGTGTAGGAGTATTTTAAATACTAATGATAAATAACAGCCTTATTTATTACCAGTGACTCTCCATTTTCTACAGAAAAAAATACACAATCATTTTCGTGAACTGGAAGCATATTTCTTAATAAAACGAAGATTCTTCTTTCTCTGGTTCCACTGCCACTACCATTACCATTTCTGTGACCTTGACACCATTCTCATCAGATTAAATGACATTCTTAATCTTTATAGAGTATATTTTTGAATGCCCCCTTTTTATGCATATGTGATTTCTTTTACCCAGAGTGTTCTTTAAGTTGTTCATCTGCCAATCTTGAATTCACTTGTGAAGTTCAAGTGACAAAGCACTTCTTTCATGAAGCCTTCACTTACCTCTCCAGCAGACAGGAGTTTCTGGCTGTGAGTTCTGAAAGCAATTTAAATGCAGTTTCCTGTGTGTAACCATCTGTTATCTTTAAAACACACTCCTTTTTACAGTGCCTTATAAGGCCCATTTCTCATTTTATTCTGACTTATAGTTAACAATTTTACTGAGAATCACTCAATGCTAGGTCATCCAAAAACCAAAGGCTTTACAACTCACGGTGGAACCAACGGCACTTATGAGGCCATCTACAATGAGGATCCTATGGTGGGCTTTGCTGTGTTTGCTGATCAACCTGATAACATCGCCTGATGGACCACAGCACACCAGGCTTCCCTGTCCTTCACCATCTCCCAGAGTTTGCTCAAGCTCATGTCCATTGAGTCAGTGATGCTACCCAACCATTTTATCCTCTGTCGTCTCCTTCTGCTTTAACTCCTCACTGTCATCAGTAGGCAGATCGTTCAGACAAAAAAACTATGTGGCAATAGTGATCATAAATTATACAACTGACCAGTCAAATTTCATTGATATCTTTAGTATTGATGCATTACACTCAAAAAATCAGAACACACATCCTCAGTCTTTGCAGACTGCAGGATTTATGCTGCTTTGGCATTTTAGTCCAGAACTTTCCCAAAATAATTTACATTGGTTTGCAGTTGGTCATTTACTGTTTTTGCTGTTTCTCTGAGGGACACAATTGTTGTGACCTCATAACCCTCCATCTTGTTGATGTCACCGTATCTCTAATTCTGGATCATAGCGACTGCAGACACAAGAGTCTCTCACTTGCTATTGTTTTACACTAGTCTTCTTTCTCACAAAATATAATTGATGTGTGTGTACAAGATGGGTGACAGCACTGACAAATCAATACTAAACACACTGTATCATCTCGAAGTGTTCTGCACTTTGTCTTTTCATTTGATTTCCACATCTGCTGACTATTCATGTAATCTATTTTTCTAAGGAATAGGAGTTATAATTTAACTTCTGGCTGATTTCTTCTGGATATAAGCCTGAGCAATAGCAAAAGTTTACAGTAATTATTTAAAAAGTACTACATATGAGCAAGATGTCTATGAAAAGGCTCTCGCTTCTGCTGCTGCTACAGCTGACTTGCTACTTTAGCACTGGGAGTTGTGGAAAGGTGCTAGTGTGGCCAGTGGAATTTAGTCACTGGCTGAATATAAAGACAATTCTGGATGAACTTGTCACGAGGGGTCATGAAGTGACTGTTCTGATATCTTCAGCTTCCACTATTACTAATTCCAGCAAACCATCGACTATGAAATTTGAGACTTTTCCTGTATCTTTAACAAAAAGTGATTATGAGAATTATATAGAACTTCTTGTTGAGAAATGGACGTATGTGGCGAAAGATTACTATTGGACCTATTTATCAACAGTGAAAAGTTTATTTTGGGAATTTTTTGATACTGCTTTAACTATGTGTAAAGATGCTGTTTCCAACAATAAATTAATGACAAAACTAGAGGAATCAAGGTTTGATATCTTTATTGCAGATGCCATTGGACCCTGTGGTGAACTGCTGGCTGAATTACTTAAAATACCATTCATGTACAGTCATTATAGCTCAACTGGCCATATAATTGAGAATAGTGGAAGACTTCCATTCCCACCATCTTATGTACCTGTTATGCTTTCAGAATTAAGTGATGGCATGACATTCATGGAGAGGATCAAAAATATGTTCTATACACTTTATTTTGACTTTTTCTTTGAGATACACAATGAGAAAAAGTGGGATCAGTTTTACAGTGAAGCACTAGGTAAGTTGGGCTTCCTGATAGCTCAGTGGTAAAGAATCTACCTGCCAATTCAGGAGACACAGGTTCAATCCTTTGGTCAGGAAGATCCCTTGGAAAAGGAAATGGCATACAATTCCCGTGTTTTTGCCTGGGAAATTCCACGGACAGAGAACCCTGTTGAGCTATATCCCATCATGTTGAAAAGAGTCAGTGGTAACTTAGCAACCAAACAACTAGGTAAGTCATGTTTTTACTTGGTATCACTAAGTCCTATTTTTCCTAGTGCCTTGGAAGTTGAGTTTGTATAAATATAAATTCACAAAAATTTATCTCAAATAAGTGAAACAGTGAAATAAAAATATAAAATGGCCCTCAATCTCACCAATATTATGCAAACACTTCAATTATAGGGTAGGGTAAAGCCCATTACTAGTATTGGATACCAGGAAGTCATTTACCACAAGTTGAAGTATCTAGGACTTCTGCAAGTGACTATCCAACTTACAAAATTTCTTTTTTTAACTTAAAATCATTAGGAATCTCATAAACTCTCTTGATAAATGAATACATGTACATTGAGAGTTATACACATATTTGGAGTACACATATCCTGTTAGCTTTTAGAAACTGTTTCTACTTGTATAGAAACAGATGTATTCTGGATTTACTTTATTATCCTAGACTATGCTATGTTATATATTTATCAAACAACAGACACATTACTACATCTTTGGCCACAACATCCCAAGTTGTTTTACAAAAATTATCTGATATACACATATGACAATAGTCTCATTTGATCAAACATTTGTTGTTGTTTTTCTTTTTACTTCCAGGAAGACCTACTACCTTATCAGAGACAATGGGGAAAGCTGACCTGTGGCTCATTCGAACCTACTGGGACTTTTCATTTCCTCGTCCATGACTCCCAAATGTTGAATTTGTTGGAGGCCTCCACTGCAAGCCTGCCAAGCCCCTGCCTAAGGTCACCTACTGCTCCTTGTTGTTCTTTGTGAATGTTGTGTTTTCAATAGGAATCATTCTGTATTCTGTCTTTGGAATGTTTTATTACAGGTAGTCAGATGTGGGACCCTGGATAAAGTGAACTTTCACCTAGAAAGTGATGTATTTCTATATCAACACAACTATCTGAATTTCATTATCATTACAGAATAAACTAGAAAACATGGGACACTTTGATAATATGTCAATTACATTAGAACTTCATTATTCAACACATAGAGAAGCATCATTCATTAAAGGACATTTATAGTTATATTATATTTTATATAAAATATATATTTTATATAAATAAAATAATAGTTATATTATCAGCTGACAATGCCATCCAACCATCTCATCTCACTATAATATGTTATATTATAATTGTATTATGATTATTATAGGATAATTTTGTATATAGCATATTCCAGAAGCGAGGGCTAATATAGGCAAATGGTGTAGGCACAGTTTCTACCACCTGATGGTCCACCTGGAATAACATAACACAATCAAGTTGTAAAAAATGTTATAAAATGGAAAGACCAGTGTTAAAGAAATATTCAGCATGAATCATAGAAAGGATCTCTGAGTCATAGATGACTATGAGATCTGAAGAACGCTCAGGAATAAACCGAATGACTAGGGCAGAGTTGAAAGAAGATATGGGCTTCCCTCATAGCTCAGTTGGAAGAAGATATAAAAGAAAGGTAGGTGGAGTAGTTTTGACAGTTGCCAAAAAGTCCAAATTTAGTCTAGATAGGAAAAGGCTAAATAAAGAAGAAGATGATGCTGATGAGGTAAGTTGCAAACAGATAATTATAAAGATTTGAAACATCTAGTAGGGGCATTGGGAAGAATATTGAAAGGATTAAGAAAGAAAGAGATGGTGGTGGTGATTTAACCTCTAAGTCATGTCCGACTCTTGCAATTCCATGGAATGTAGGCTGCCAGGATCCTCTGTCCATGGGATTCTCCAAGTGTGAATACTGGAGCAGGTTGCCATTTCCTTCTCCAGAGGATCTTCCCAACCCAGGAATCGAGCCTGGATCTCCTGCATTGCAGGCAGATTCTTTACCAACTGAGCTATGATGAAAGCCCTGAGAAAGAGATAGTCATATATTATGCAAAAATAAAAAGCAAGGTGTAGTCACTGGGGTGGATTGTAAATGGTTAACAGTAGGAAGAGACCATTTAGCAGATTCTTGATAGATATAGACAATAGTGAGTGAAAACTAGAGTACAGTGTTCACAGAGATATTAAATTAATTCATTTTTTCTTTATTTTAAATTAATTAATTTTAATTGGAGGATAATTACTTTACATTACTGTAGTGGGTTTTGCCTTATATTGACATGAATCAGGATAATTTACTTTAAATACATTTAAATAAATCTCTGTATATATATATATATATATATATATATACATTTATATATACAGTCATTTATATTATTGGGGAAAGGCATTTATTTTAGCTAGTGCACTGGTGAAAAGCCTTAAAACTTACAAAAATACTTTAGTATTTCATCTTCTTCATCTGATCACCAAAACCTTAAAAATTCCTAACATTAAAAAAGTTTACATTAAATGCTGCTGCTAAGTCACTTCAGTCATGTCTGACTTTTTGTGACACTATGGACTGCAGTCCTCCAGGCTCCTCTGTCCATGGGATTCTCCAGCAAGAGTATTGGAGTGGGTAGCCATTCCCTTTTCCAGGGGATATTCCTGACCCAGTGATCAAATCCTGGTTTCCTGCACTCCAGGCAGATTCTTTACCATCTGAGCCACTAGGAAAGCCCAAATAATGCTAAATTATACTAAGTCAGATATAATAAAATATTCACTTGAAAAATACCAAATATAATAAGATCACAGTTTTCTTGAAGGTTAAAAAAGCATAAGCTAGAATTACAATTTTCAGGATATATGTCATAGTGTATATTTGATTATAGGAATAGAGTAGAGATTAAAATGAAAGCACAAATTTTAGCATAATGTCTTCAATGTCCACCCATGTTGTCAAAAATGGCAGGATTTCCTTCTTTCTTGTGGGTGAATAACATTCCATTCTGAGCATGTCTGTCTGTGTGTATGTCTGTGTGTATCTATGAAACATCTTTAAATAATTCATCCATTGGTGGGCACTTAAGGTTTTAAGGTTTTTCCCTTAGCTAATTGTGAATAATGCTGCAGTCAACATGGGAGCACATATACCTCTTCACTATCCTGTTCTTATTTCCTTTGACTATATACCCAGAAGTACAATTGCCAGATCATACAATAGATCTATCTTTAATTGTTTTAGAAACCTTCAATTTATGTTCCTGAAAGGCTAAACCAATTTACATTCCCACTAAGAGTGTACAAGCATTCACTTTTCTCCACATTCTCATAGCACTTTTCTCTTCTTGGTTATATACTTTTAATAGAGGTGAGGTAATATCCGGTTGTGATTTTGAAATACGTTTCCCTGATGATTACTGATGTTGAGTATCTTTCCCTATACCTGGTGACCATGTGGAAATCATCTTTGTCAAGTGCCTATCTTGTTCATCTGCCCATTCCTTAACTGAATTTTGTTGTATGAGTTGTGTATATATTCTGGATCTTAACCCCCCATTCAATATATGGTTATAAAACTTCTTCCATTCTGTAGATGGCATTTTCATCTTGTACATCGTTTGCTGTGCAGAAGCTTTTAAGCTTGATGTAGTGTAGTCCCATTCGTGATTTTTTTTCTTTTGTTGTGGTCTTGATGTCATATAAAAAAAATCATTTTCAAGACCAGTGCCTAGGAGTAGCATCATTATACTTTCTTTTACAGATGTTATGGTATCTGGTCTTGTGTTTAAGTCATTGATTCATTTTGAGTTGTTTTGGTGATGGTATAAGATAGAGGTCTCATTTTTTGTTTTTTCATATATGTATCCAGTTTCCTCAGAAAAGAAAGAAATGACTAATATTTCCACATTGGATATTCTTGTCTCCCTTGCTCCCTTGTTGAATATTAGTTGAACCCTGTATGCTGTTCCATGAACTCTGTGCCTATTTTGGGGCCAGTACACTATTATTTGAAGTATTGCAACTTTGTGGTAAATATGAAGTTTGAAAGTGTGAGTCTTTTGGCTTTGGGTAATGTCAATATTTTAATAGTATTACTCTTCTGGTCCATGTTACATGATGACTTTCCATCCATTTGTGTTTTCTTCTAATTGTTAAAAATTCTTATAGTTATCACTATACAGATATATCACTCCACTGATTAAATTTATTTTAGTTAATTTCTTGCTTTTGATGCTAATGTGAATGGGATAGTTTTTTTTTCAGATACACAGAAATGGAACTGAATTCTATATAGTGATTTTATATCTTGAAATTTTACTGAATTTGTTGACTAGTTCAGGGATTTTGTTGTTGTTGTTGTTGTTGTTGTTGTTGAATCTGTGAGATTCTCTGTACAAAAAAAGTCATGTCTTCTATAAAAAAATAAAAATTTTACTTCATCCTTTCTATTTAGGATTTCTTTTAATTCTTTGTCTCACCTAGTTACTCTAGCTAGAGCTTCTACTATTATATTGAATTAGTGTGGGAGTAGGCATCCTTATTTTGTTTCTGATTAGAGAAAAAGCTTTCAAGTGTTCACTGTTGAGTATAACATTAGCTTTGGGTTTGTCATATATGTTCTTTATTACACTGGGGTATTTTCCTTCTATACCCTATATGTTGAGGGTTTCATCATGAAAGAATGTCATACCTTGTCAAATGTTTTTTGGACATCTATAGAGATAATCAAGTTATTTTATAGTTCATTATATTTATCCTTGCATCCAAGAGATAAATCTCACTTGGTCTTAGTATATAATTCTTTTAATGTGTTCTTGAATTTGGCTTGTTGATATTTTGTTGAGAATTTTTCATCAATACTCGAACTGGATATTGACTTTAGTTTTATCTTCTTGTAATGCCCTTATCTATTTGGTATCATGATCATGATGATGACCTTGTAGGATGAGTTTGG